TAGATAGATAGATAGATAGATAGATAGATAGATAGATTCAATACTTCCCTATGTTATCCATGTTGATATATGCTTACATGTTCATACTTATGCATACCTACGTGTATCTACTTACGTGGGTATATATTCACGCACCCAGTGCATACGATTTACTGAAATACTCAGAATAGTATAGCCGGAAAGTGGATTACCGTCACCGATTATTTGCCCCTTCGGAACAACAACAACAATAATAATAATAATATTAATAATAATAATAATCATTAAACTGGTTTATTTTGATCCTTAGATCCATATGAAAGGAATGCGGACTTATAGTTGGATAATATACGAATTTTGCAAAATAACCGCATTTTCCAATGATCCTAAAGTTTTAACATTTGGTGGTGGGGGGGATTTTTGACATTGCTTATCTATTTTTTTTTTTTTCGGTCCAAGGGCAGATATTCGTTTCACTTTGGTGTTTCGGATTTTACATGCACTCACTACGGAATGCAGGTAATCTCCGAAAAATTCTACAGTTCGGGCAATAAATATTAAAAAGAACAGATAGAGCATGTCGAATCGTCCTCGGTCGTAACGAAATACTAGAAGAGCAACACACTGCACCTTCTTGGCCTCACGTTTTCAACTGACTTGAAAAGGAGCGACTACGTCGAATCAATAGCTGCATCTATAGCAAGGAAAGTTGGGTGACTGTGTCATGCCAGAAAACTTTTTTCTCGTCAGAGTCCATCTTGCATATTTACAAATCTTTCATTGGTCCGTGCATTGAATACTGTTGCCATATCTGGTCAGGTGCTCCTGCTATTTATCTCGGGATTCTTGACGGTTCCTTCCAAAGAAGGGTCTGCAATGGAATCGATCCTAACTTGGCATCTTGACTGCAGTCACTTTCTCACCGACGTAGTGTGGCTTCCCTCTGTCTTTTCTACAATTATCTTCGTAACTTCTCTGACGAGCTTTTTCCCCCTTGAAATTAAGTGTACTACTAGAGTGGCGTCTCGTTTACTGTTGAAATAGCTAAAGGGAACCGTCACTTCTACTTCAACTATTTCTTTTCTCGCACTTCTCGCCTGTGGAACTCCTTTCCGTTTACTTCCTTCCCTGATGATTACAATCTTTAAAAATTTAGATAAAACGTCAGTCGTCTTGTCATCCCGTTCACCTTTTGTCCTTTTCACAAGCCTCCCTATCGTCAGACTTTTCTTTCACTTTCACTGCCTGTACCCCCACCCCAGCGTACTAGTGGCATTTCCACCTTGCTTGGGGCGAAATGAATTTAAAAAAAAAAGAGTCAGGTTGCTATTCGCTGCTCCATGCTTAGCAAAGCTATATAGCGTCACACTACGGAAGGGGCCTAGTTTGTTTATACAGATGGTTGTAATGGACGTCGGCTCAGAGTGAGAAATCGGAGAGCCGAGTTCGAATTCCAGTCGGGTTCATTGCATTCACTTATGCAGACAGACTGGGTCCTATAGCCTTGGTTGGCAACCAGTCTACCGCAGAAAGAAGGAAACGACAACCCGCTGCGGGAAAATCTGCCGAGTCACTCATGAATCGAAAAAGACAAGGTCGCTCTAGCGGGTCTCGCGTATGGTACTTCACTGACCGACTGGCTGTAGATTGTGACTGACGATCTATGCTCATAACAAACGAAAAGCTTCCCCCCTTTTAAAAGAGATTGGTGTTTCAGTTTTTGTCTTTTTTTTATTTTACTGAATTTCACCCAATACAAAGCTCGTGAGCCAATCAAGATAGAGGATTCGGTTCAGTTATGTGCCGTGCATGATACACGCTTATGCGATCATGTATCTTTTGATACATGACTGACGAGGTAGATTTTTCCCGGCAGTAGCTTACTATTTCTTTCTGCGGTAGACCAGTTGCCATCCAAGGCTATAGAACCCGGTCTGTCCTGCTATTTACCCATAGCTGGGGGAGAAAAAGAGGATCCATACTTTCCCAAGGGTATTAGCATATAAGTGAATGTAATGGATTCGAGTGGAATTCGAACTCGGCACTCCGATTCCCCAATCCGAGCCGCTATCCATTACTCCACCGTAAGAAGATTACATGATTTAATTCTGATTGATTCGTTTTCTACGGCTCATCAACCGCTTGTAGGTCATTTCAAGCCAGAAAATATTTTTAGATTGTAATTTTTTTTTTTTGAGATATTAATAGTTTAGTCGATATAAGTCTTACTAATTAACCTATAGCTAGGGAGTAGGAGAGATGGATTCATACCTTTTCGACTGATATTTGCGCTTAAGTCAACGAACCTGACTGGAATTAGAACTGGACTTCCAATTCCGAGCCAATTTTAAAACTCTCCCTTCCCTCTCTAATTTCGACCATGTCTCTCATACTATCCCTCACCACCCTGTATGTCACCTGATATTCCAAAGCAGTCAGCCATCTAGGTACTGACCAATGAATTATGGGATGGAAGTTGGTAAAGGTCTGTAACAAATGGAAACTCTTCCGATACACCCTTTGCGTTCGCAGTTGCTTCGATATCGAAGATGAGCTTGAGGACTTAGTCAGTTTTGTTCGGTGCAAACAACTTCAGTTTAGAAAACTAGATCAGTTACTGTCGCTCTATGGCAAGTAGTTTTTGTTCAAGGCCGCAAAATACTTGAAACAAAACTTATTTCTCCAAACCTTGACTAAACATGAAGGACGTGTTTAAGGAGCGAGAAAATGAAAAATAGTCGATTATAATGAAGTTATTATTTCTTAATAACGTTATGGGCGCGTGTTATTGCCCGGACGACGCGTGAAAAGCTTTCGGGAAGAACTTGTAGTGAAGGGATTTGATTTTTTTTTTCATTCTGCTGACAAGAAGTAAACCGCGTGTATCAAGAGGATTAATTGTATAGAGAAATCGAGTTTTGAGATGAAAAAAGAACTACTTAAAAATTGCTACTGCGGGCCGAGATATCACGAACCTATCATCGGAAGAGGGCAAAAGACGTTGAAACGCGCGCTTTTACGCACAGACAAGTTAAAAAGGCATACAGTTAAAAAAAAAAAGCACGCTCTTTTAACCTCTCTGTCTTTCTCTCCAGAACATAGATGCACACACACACACACACACACACACACACACACACACACACACACACACACACACGGGCTCGCGCACTATATGCCATACTAGCAGCATGGCCCGGCGTTGCCCGTACTTGATTCAAAAATCGTACGACTCATACAGCAATCGCTATCTTTGCCCTTCTTTGCCTTTAAAGGAGTGCCCTTTGCCGTGCTGATGTTGCTACATGACTTGCTTCTTGCCTAACTCGCACTGAGAATTTTTTCTAAGCTCTATACTAAACATTAAATCTGTTACGAAAAAAGAACTAAACAAAATGAACACAAAACGATCAGCTTTAAAAAAGGACTCGTAACTGGAAAAACCGAATGAAAAAATAATGTTAACAACAAATACTTTTTCACACCCAACCCACTTCTGCGGAATCAGAATCAACGTTGAGTTTAAGCAAGCGAATGAGCCAATTGGATTAAAGTGCCATGCAGTTTCAAATTTTTCCCACTTGTGACCAATGCAGCTATCGATTTTTTTTTTCATGCTAGCATGCTAGTTAACATTCGTGTCAGTCAGCTGTTGGCTCTGACGCTGGCCAATAGAATCTTCCTGCCTATTCATGGCAGCCAGTTATTGGCTCTCACTCTGGCCAGTAGAAAATGGCCGCAAACTACATGAAAACTGCCGTAGAAGCATGAAAAAATCGATTATTTCTACTATCGATGGGAGTTGGGAAATGCAAAGTTGGTCTTGGCCTTCCCACTAACTCGGAGCATGTGCATGTAAATTTTGGTGCAAATCCGTCGAAAATTGCGGCCGTGCATTCGTTACACACACACACACACACACACACACACACACACACACACACACACACACACACATCCTACCTTTTATAGATAGAGATTCAGTGTGCCCAAAGAAAATGTCTTCTTATTTTATGTGCCGTGTACCTTCAGGACGTAGGCGATCATGGCCCTCCACATCTTCCTGTCCCTTGTAGCTCTGAATAAGTTTTGTCTTGTCTGTTATTTTCGCCCAAACCCTGTTCTACCATCCATTCGCTCAAGCTCATCAAGTATGTCACGCTTTGCTTTTTTTCTGTTTCTCTTTCCTCCTCAATCTGTCCTGTGAGTATCAGATTTTCCAAGCCCTTCTTCCTCGTTACGTGTCCCAGAAATTTCAACTGCCTCTTCTTGATGTTAAGTATGTTTCCTTTTTGTCTCCATTCTCTCCAAAACCACGTTGTTGCTCACATGTTCGGTCCATGGTATCTTCAGCAACTTTCTGTAGAAGCACATTTCTGTTGCTTCAAGTCTCTTCCACATCTTTGAGAAGATTGTCCTGCATTCACTGCCATGGCCGATTCGTCACTTGTTGATGTTATCTGGAGACGCGATCCTAATGTTAGGTATAAGTTTGTTTTTTGTTTCCATTTTCTCTAAAACCTCGTCGTTGCTCACCTGTCCGGTCCATGATACCCTAAGCATCTTTCTGTAGAGGCACATTTTTGTTGCTTCAAGTATCTTCTTCATCTTTGAGGAGATTGTCCAGCATTCGCTGCCATGGCCGATTCGTCACTTGTTGATGTTATCTGGGGACACGGTTCTGATGGTAGGTATAAGTTTCTTTTTTGTTTCGATTTTCTGTAAAACCTTGTCGCTGCTCACATGTTCGGTTCGTGGTATCCTCAACATCTTTCTGTAGAACCACATTTCTGTTGCTTCAAGTCATTTCTTCACTCGTTAAAAAAAAACTTGGCTTTGTTGGTGGGGATTAGAAAACGCCCTGCAATCCCTATAGGGGGAGAGGAATATATGTCCCAATATCTATCTTTTGACTCTGGCGTAAACTAATCTAATCTGTACTAGTGACATGGCTCCGGTGCACATTTTGTGCACATTCATGGCTTTAGCTTTGTGCATAACTAATCTTATTTTATAATACTTCAGATAAAAGGAAAAAGAAAGGAACAAAGAAGACAATGAGTAACTCGGGAAGAGAAAAAGAAAGAAAAAAGAAAGAAAGAAACAGAATACATAAAGAATAATTTGTAAGTAAGAAAAACAAAATGAATAAAGAAAAAAACGAAAGAAAGAACAAATGAAAAAGAGTAACTCGTGCGAAAAAAGAAAGATAGAAAGAAGTAAAGTAAGAAGACAATGAGCAACACATGCGGAGAATGAAAGAAAGAAAGAAGCAAACAAACAAGCAAATAAAGCGGGCAATGAGTAATTCGCGAGAAGAAAGAAAGAAAGAAAGAAAGAAAGAAGACAATGTGGAATGCGTGAGGAGATAAAGAAAGAAAGAAAGAAAGAAAGAAAGAAAGAAAGAATACACTGGCTAATTCATGAGAAGAAAGAAAAAAAGAAAGTAGACAATGAGTACTTGTGAGGAGACGAAGAAAGAAGGAGTGAAAGAAAAAGGCAAAGAAAGAATAAATGAAAAAAGAGTAACTTGTGAGAAGAAATATAAAAAGAAATAAAGAAAGAAGACAATGAGTAACACGTGAGGAGACAAAAAAGAAAGAAAGAAAGAAAAAGAAAGAAACAAGCAAAAAGGCAATGAGTAATTCGCGTGAATAAATAAATAAATGAATAAAGAAAAAAGGCAATGAGTAACACGTGAGAAGAGAAGGAAAGAAAGAAACAAGCAAAGAAGACACTGCGTAATTCGCGAGAAGAAAGAAAGAAACAAAGAATGAAAGTAGACAATGAGTAACTCGAAAGAAAAGAACAAATGAAAAAGAGTAAGTCGTGAGAAGAAAGAAAGATAGAGAGAAACAAATAAAGAAGATAATGGGGAAACAAAGTAAGAAAGAAAGAATGAAGAAAATCACAAAAATAGATGACGATGAATAACTAACGGGAAGAAAGAAAGAGAAGGATGAAATAGAAAAAAAAACAAAGAATAACTCGTGTGAAAGACTAAATAAATAAAGAATAAACGAAATAAAAAACAAATAAAAAGAGTAACTCATGAGAACAAAGAAAGAACGAAAGAAAGAAAGAAAGAAAACAATGAGTAACATGTGAGGAAAAAAAGGAAGAAACAAAGAAACAAAGAGGACAATGAGTAAATCGCGAGAAGAAATAAAGAAAGAAAGAAAGAAAGAAAGAAAGAAAGAAAGAAAGAAAGAAAGAAAGAAACAAGCAAGCAAAGAAGACACTGGGTAACTCGCGTGAAGAAAGAAAACAAAGAAAGTAGACAATGAGTAACTCGTCAGGCGACAAAGAAAGAAGGAAAGAAAGAAAAAACGAAAGAAAGAACGAATGAAAAGGAGTAACTCGTGAAAAGAAAGAAAGATAGATAGAAAGAAATAGAGACAATGAGTAACACGTGAGGAGAATAAGAAAGAAAGAAAGAAAGAAAGAAAGAAAGAAAGAAAGAAAGAAAACACACAAACAAAGTAACTCACGAGAAGAAAGAAAAGAACAAAGAAACGAGGAAAGAAGACAATGAGTAACTCAGGAGGTGACAAAGAAAGAAGGAAAAAAAGAAAAAACGAAAGAAAGAACGAATGAAAAAGAATAACGCGTGAGAAGAAATAAAAATAAAAATAAATAAATTAAATAATGAGTCACATATGAGGAGACAAAAAATGAAACAAAGAAACAAACAAAAAGGACAATGAGTAATTCGCGAGAAGAAAGAAAGAAAGAAAGAAAGAAAGTAGACAATGAATAACTCGTGAGGAGAAAGATAGAAGAGGGAGAAGAAAGAAAGAAAGAAAGAAAGAAAGAAAGAAAGAATGAAATAAGAAAGTATCATCAGAGGAAGATAGAGAAGTAAAATAAAAATAAAACTCCCTAAAAGGACAAACCGAGTAGAATTGAAAGATTTGTAAAGAAACCCTTTTTTTTATGAAGAAAAGGAAATAAATCAAACTGTCCAGTAATTAAAAACCGATTACAATTACTGATCGATTTTTTTTCTTTTAAAGAGATACTCCTTGAAAATACGTTCATCGATTCGCAAGAAAAAAACAGTGAACACACAATTAGTATCAGAAGCACATTACTCGAGAAATTAATTCCTAAAAAAAGAATATATATATATATATATAGAAAAAAATGAACATGGCGGCATGCCAATTGAATCTTTTAAGTACTGCACTCGTCCACCCTAACCCGCAAAATATATCGCTATTTTATAAGTGACGTGGCGAAATTTTGTTGGAAAGAGTAGAGTGACCTTAGATGGGAAAATTTCGTTAGCATTTTTCATGTTCTGCGTATTAAATATATCTTCAAGGTTTGAACAACTGGGGAAAAAGTGAGGATGAAATGAGAAAATAAAAATAATTATATATGCAAGAAATGTCCGTGAAAATTTCAGTTTTCCTATTTGAAATTTCTGATGAATCTTAATTCTGAATTTAATGATTGGATAAGCTCCCTGCGAGTTTCATGACTACAAAATACCCGTGGAATTTCCTCTACTGCATCGTTAAGTATTTAAGCTTAACAGCTTCCAAAAAATATTACAACAATCATAAATTTGAACGCAGGTGATTATTAAAAGAAGTAAGAAGCTTACAAATTAAAATATTTTAAAATGCCAAGTTTTTTCCATTTCACTGAAGCAGACGATAAACAAATAGGTGTTACCGTCGCCTTTATATTTCTATTTCTATTGCTCTCTTTTCCTAGCTGAACCAAACAGCGTCGCCGATATGTCTTTTCCGACTTTCTTCGCGATCAAAATAGAATAGTCCTTTACTTATGAGCCATTTGAAGGGCGTGACATACGTGCTAAGGAACTAGCAAAATTATAATATAATTACGATAACTAGCAAGACATTGACAAATTTCACGGTTTTATTATTTAACGAGACAAATAGATTATATTGCGTCAAATGCCTTACTTATAAGCTTCTTCCGAACTTGAAAATCAATATTTGAAATCCGAATTTTTAACTGGGCTTGAACCAGTGGTAGTAGTGGAAAATACGCAGTTACGTTGAACAAGTGCCAGAGTGGATGGATGGATGTATGGATCTATCTATCTATCTATCTATCTATCTATCTATCTATCTATCTATGTACGTTATAGAGTACGTTATATTATAGGTTCCGCATGTATTCCTAAGAGTCTTAGACATAGGTGTGACTTATGTTTAGAAGAAAAAATTAGAATAATAAAATACAATAATCAAAGTCAACTATTGCATCAGAGAAATGAATTAGTGTTAAAATGTCGACATAAAAACAAATTCAGTTTTCCATAATATAGCTTTAACTTAATTAGCTACTATATTTCCATAATATTCACTCCCCTCTAACTCTTCAAATATCGGCTGTATAACTAATTCTAATTTCTATATTTAATTCCCACTTCTATAACCTCTTGACCCTATAATAATTATAATTTGTAAACTTTCCCCTACTTTAACATCTCCCCAACTCTCCTTCCATTAATTCCTTACATCCTTTTATGTATATATTTTAAATTTATTTTTAAACCCCTTTTTATTTCGCTTTTAGTTTTAAATTAATGTTTCATTCTTCATATAACTCCTAAATTAATGTCATAAGATTAATATTCAGGTTTAATTTTTGTGATGTTAAGCAACCAATTCCCTCGAAAATTGTTTTTAATAAAAAAAGATTTTATAAATTTCAACCGTACACTAACTGTTTGGTTAATGAATGTCGGTCCAATCAATATTAGAAAGATCCAGGGCCGGCGCGCCTTACAACCGACCCCGCCCCCGTCCGCGTTTTTTTTTGGGGGGGGGGGCCGGTGTGGCCGCTGCCATTTTTTTTTTCAGCACTGTTTTATGGCCATCCGCCAATTTTTAAATTATTTTTAAACTGACTTTACATTGTCAATCATCACCATAATAATATACCTGGTGTATCTGCATGGGGGGGGAGGGGAAGGGTGGTGCGTACTACACAGGAACCCCCGGTGAGGTTGCAGCCTCAGCTGCGTTTTTTGGTTTTTGTACTTTTTACTTTTTTTCTACCAAAGATATATTGTCAATCATCAGCTATAATAGTCGACAGGGCCAGTGTTTATTAAATCGAACCTCTCAACCACTTGGTATGACGATAAACTACATCCGCGTCCTGGATAAGACGATACTACGCCCAACAGTAAGGCCTCTGATCAGGAGGTTTTGAGGAGCGTGGAACCACCTCCTAATTGCTGGTGTTCCCAGGTCCACCCTGATCTGGGGTGATAGCACCTGTTAGGGTCCCAGCTATGGGCAAATAGTTAACTCCAAAACTGAGGTAAAAAGCATTATAAAAGTGTAAAAATAGGTTTTAATACCAGAAATACTTTGTAAAACATTATTACCAGAAATAAATTTTTGAAGAAAAAAACTATTACCAGCAATATATTTTTGAAAAAAAACAAAAACTATTACTAGCAATATATTTTTGAAAAAAAAACAACAGTTACCAACAATATATTTGGAAAAAAATATATTACCAGCAATATATTTTTGAAAAAATTTGTTACCAGCAATACATGTTTTAAAATAATATTACCAGCTATACATTGTTGAGAAGAAAATATTACCAGAAATAGATTTTTGACAAAAATATATTACCAGGAAAACAAAAAAGTTGTCGGCATTAAATAACCCATTGAGGTTGATATGCCGTAAAACGCAAGAAACCAAACCAAACCACGTCGGAGCCATATGCCTAATGCGGAGGAGGACCGAAGTACTAATTTTTTTTTAAATTGTAAAATTTCATTCTGAACAGTTCTTTAAAATCAATTAAGAGGGTAATATATCTTGGTAAAATCATTTTTTATTCCGAGATCATCCACTAAGGAAGATCACTGATTTTTTTTTTTACTAATAGTAATACTAACCAGATGTCCATGGCTAGTAATTAAAATAAAATTTCTAGTCCCTATTTTTTACATTTCTAGAAAGATAAAAGATAAGACCGAGAAAATGATCACTTAAAAACTAAAAATGTTTAAAGATTTCAACACATGAAAAAAATTCCGAAAATTGAAATACTGTTTTTAAAACAAATTTTTAAGACAATCCCGTTTATGTTGTGTTGGAATCTTTGTAAAACTTTTTTTTTCAGCGGAGATGATAATTTGTGACTTAAAAATTTTTTTCGAGTAAAATTAAGTCATGAACATATTGGTGGTTATTACAAAAAAAAAGAATCACATTTTCTCAATTTTTTTATGAATTAAAAATTAAATACCTATTCATTATAATGAATATGTACTGAATTTTTCATTTAAATTGGATAATTCCCTGACTTGTGGTAATTTAAAAAAGCGCTGCCCTCACCTTTTTCTTCAAGGGTTTGTGGCTCCCAGGTTGGGAAACTTTGAAATCAACATGTAGTAGAGGTTGGAGCCCTATATCAAAGTTTCGTGAGGGTGATGGAGGCGAGACCCTAGCGTCAGCCCTGGAAATATCTATAACATTTAGTGGGCTTGAGAAGTCTAAATTCCTCAATATAGTTTTAATCAAAAAAATATTTCATAAATTTCCACCAACAGTAACACTAACTGATCGGTCAATGAATGTCGATCGATTCTTGTATGGAAACGGCTAATTTTACCATTTTACTTAGACTTGAACAACGATCATTTGCATAACTGGGGACATCCGGCTATCTAAGCAACCAGGCCGGCCTGTTTTGCTATTTAAAAAGAAAAAAAATCTTTCTCTTACGCCCTATCGTAAAGTTCGCGTTTCCTAGTTTGTATATAAAACAAAATCTTCTAAGTTCGAGACAGGGGAAAGATGGAAAAGAGAAATAACCTCGCAGAAAAAAAAAAAAACGAAAAAACTTATGGAAATATCTTATTATAGAGAAACTTATTTTTCCTTCTGTTTCTCATAAAAAAAAAGATGTTATCTTTTTCCTTGACAAGTAAGAGCTCTTCATGTTGATTACTCGTAAAAGGCACAGGCATAAACAGACATCTGTCATATGTTTTTTTTTCGGGCTTCGAGAGATCAAAAGCTTACAAGAAAATATCGACTGAAAATGAGAAATGTCAGAATTCGTTTCTATCGATTTGGCTTGTTCTAAATTATACGACCATACCGCGTTGAAACATCAGTTCTTTTATGGAAGAAACCTAGGCTACATAGGTGGCAGGTCAAGGGTAAAGGAGCTACCGTAGTCAGGCATGAACCCAAACAAAAGTGAGGTATCTAAATATTTGTATCTGATATTTGATGGTAAGTGCGTTTTCTCACCATTTTGGGGCATCGTTGTACAAAAAAAAAAAAAAAAGAAAAAAAAAGAAAAGAAAAAAAAAGAAAAGAAAAAAAAATGAAGCCTATTTATTTGCTATATGTCCAGAGTGGTGCCTATTACTGCAATATTTAACTACGGTAGACTTATTTATATTATTTAAAATGTTCGGACTGTTGTCCTCATCTTTGTTGCCATATTCACGACGTTTCGACCGTCGTACGCTCCGGCCTTCTTTAGGCGATTGAAATTTCGAACCCAACTCTTTATTTCGTCCACCGGAGAAGACTGTTCTAGTTCTACGTGCTATGCCTCATCCGGATGTCTCAGTATCAGTTACCTCCCTTTAATTCAACTCTCCATGTTTTTGTTCACCTCTACTGTGGCCAGGTATTGAACTCACAACTCTTTGCGTCAAAGTCACTGGATTCAAGCAAGTCTTCTTTTCTTTGTTTCTAACGAAATATTTCCTGTATCAGAAAGAGACGGGTGAAATTTCCAGGAGACATAATGAGGAAAGAGGGCTTGGGGAATTTGACACTCACAGGATATATTGAAGGCGAAGGGGATAGG